ATCAGTCTGGAGGCGAGCAGCGGCCATCACTACATCCGCTCCGTCCTTCCCGAGGGACCTGTGGGTCGCTGTGGGAAGCTCTTCAGTGGAGATGAACTGCTTGAGGTGCAAAAAACACACTTTTAACAGTGTTTCCATTTTGTCTCTGACATTTTTGCCATTAATAATTACAAAGGCTGAACTATCAACATGTACCTACTACTACTACTACTACTACTACTACTACTACTACTACTACTCCTACTACTTACCTACTACTACTTACCTACTGCACCTAAATGAAGCTAATGCTAGCCTCTCCTCTCTCAGGTCAACGGCTTGTCTCTGATTGGTGAAACGCACAAGGAAGTGGTGAGGATCCTGAAGGAGCTCCCTCTCTGCGTCTACATGACCTGTTGCAGACCCGCCCCCCACCTGCAGATTGACATGCACGATGTCCAACCAGAACCAGAGATTCTGTCTACAGTGTCTGCATTAAAGGTACTGCAAATGCAATGCTCAAACATAGCAGATTTACTCGAATGTATTATTGTTTTAATATACATTTTAATGAGCATTAGATTGCATTTGTCAAGCATGATTTGGGAGTAAACAAACTGAATTTTAAAGGCTATTGTAGCAGAAGATGCATTCAAGTCGAGTTGGAAACTACACACCTGAGCATGCATTGATGTATCATGAAATGATTTCCCATTTCTGCATATGAAAGGGAATATGGAGTGCAATGTTCTCCCGCTATTAAAACCCATTGCTCGTTATTAGCTTAGCACGATCTGTTAATCGCTCCATTGACTTTGAATTAAGTCTTATCAAAAAGCAGAGAAAAGTTTTTTAGGACCAATTCTAGTAATATGTCTGCACCAAACATGTGCAGGAGATATGAGACATCAGAAACATCTAGTCTCTTGGGGAAGGTGACTTTCATCTATCCAGCTTTAACAGTGATAATGTGCTAAGGCCCGAGCATCCCCGGAGATATTTCCCTTTTATCTCCTGCCAGAATCATACCGGAGGGTAGCAGCCCAGGGGTTGGGACTGAAAGTGAGGCAGGCAGGCTGTTACAGATGGATTTTGGGCTTTTCTTCTGCAGAAACAAATAGACCTGAGCATTGTGCGGGCGGCTGCAGACTCAGAGGTGAAGGCGGCAGCAGCAGCAGCAGCAGCAGTGACAGTGGAAAATGTGACGGAGGAGGTCATAGCCTCTCCTCTGGCCATGTGGGAGCTGGAGATCCAGAACATCGAGCTGGAGAAAGGAGAAGGAGGATTGGGATTCAGCATCCTCGACTACCAGGTGGGAAATCTTTAGTATACGTTGTTTACAGTTTGCTAGTTGTAGGCAGGCCTTTCAAAAAAAGTACGCAAACTTCAATCTGTATATTAATATTGTATATTCAATAGAGATTATCTAAATCTTTCACAGTTGATATATACAAATACATACTGTTTATTCTTTATTTTATTGTGCAAAGTCTTGTAAAAAAAGTATTTCCGATTCAATAAAAGTATATCTAATGGTATCCTAATGGCTTATTTAATAATATTACATTAAACCCACAGATCGGTTCTTTTGATGTTGTGTTTCTATCATAAACCTAAGGAGCAGAAAGTTCGATATCGAGTATTGCCTTTTTTCACCCATATTTAATGCTAATTCTGACTGCTGTACAAATATTATATAAATGTCTGAGCCTGTCATCCATTTTGGGAACAGTAGGTATCATTTAGCATTACATATATTTCCATTAAATAATCACTGAAAACTTCTTTAAAACTAGCTTCCAAGACTTTTTGTTAAGGTCAACCCTATGAATTGATTCTGGTTAAGAAAAGGATATTTTACAACACATTTGTTTGTTTTAGTTGGAGAGCCGAGTGCTGTTTCCTCAGAAAAAAGCACGTAATAAAACATTTCCTGTGATTTCCATGTACATTTGAGTCTGTGAAGTTCACCTGTTCCTCCGCCTCAGGATCCGCTGGACCCGGCCAAGACGGTGATCGTGATCCGCTCTCTGGTTCCCGGCGGTGTGGCGGAGCATGACAGCCGGCTGCTGCCAGGAGACCGCCTCATGTACGTGAACAGCACAGAGCTGGAGAACGGCAGCCTGGAGGACGCAGTGCAGGCGCTGAAGGGGGCCCAGCTGGGCATGGTGCAGATAGGAGTGTCCAAACCGCTGCCTGTAAGCAAACAATCAGCATTTCAATTATTATGAAGGAAAATATTACTTGTGTTGTGGGCGATAACAAGGCAAATGTGTGCTTATATTTACTAGTTATACTTTTGTGTCATGAATGTGTCCCTGTGAGTCAGCTTGTCATGAGGGTTCAGCTTACGAGGCCTTGAATATTTCATGCAGGAAAAAGAGAGGAGGCTTAGCTTTCCACCCACTGCTCATTCAGAAGAGGCATCCAGCCTTTAACGCTCTTGTTTCACATACTATGTTATTGGATTTTCCAGGCCCTGTTGTACCACACCGGGGCAGCTGTGTGAATATTGGGCCTGTCCAACAGCATGTTCACCACTGCAGGCTCCTGCTCTCTTTGTACGTCACTCTCTGCAAAATTGCTCGCATTCTTTCAGCTTTACAGCTTGGATTCTCCCGTATTGAATCTGCCCATTGGATTACGCAGTGAGACCTCTGGGCTGCTGAGGTTAGATTACAGAGCTGCAGGAAACTGGAGTTAAACACCGCTGCTGCAGGACGGGGATCTTCTTCTGAGGGGGATTTTGTGTAGCGTGTCTAGGCTGCATGCTACACAAAATCAATATCAAGAGCTTAATACATATGAAATGTTCTTGAGCTTGTCTGTGACGTTTGGGCAACTTTCCTGCACCCCTATCTTTCTCTTTAATCAGCTCTCAATAACTTCTAACTAACATATTTTCCTCATTCCATACTAACTCATTTGTACCTGATTCGGTCATTAAAACAATTTAAAAAATCAGATTATTTGAAGCTGGAGACTCTGAAATGATTTCTCCACTTTCCTAGGGAATATGTGGATATTCCCACTCTCCACACCCCTATGGTGAGCAGGAAATTACTCCATCATCCACCATCCATTCATTTGACTTCAACAATATTTTGGTTGAAGAAGGAGAGGAAGAAGGACCGGCTGAGGGCAACGTTTACCGAGCAGAGCCGGCATTGGTTAGTTAGCTTCTGGGAAAAAACTAAAAAATCAATCAGAACATCTTGAAAATGGAAAAACAGATTTTGCTCAACATATTTGCTTCTGCTTATATTGACCATTACTCTGATGCCATATATGATGTGATTTAATCGTTTCTGTGATTAGATAGTTTACCTCATTGATCAAATATAAAGTTTTTAGTGCCAGTTGGTGACTGTTCTTCCATTGATGATCACAGATCGACACCAGCGAGGCGGAGCAGTTAGATCATTCTTACTCCACGATGGACGACGACTCTTTCCAGGCGTCCATGATGGCTCTGCACGGCAGCAGCTGCAGCGCCGACCTGGACTATCTGCACGCATCTACACCCAAGGTAAGAGGCACAGGGAATATACCCCACGTTATTCTCACATAAATAATATGGCTGACATTTACACATCAGACTAGGCATATTCTGTGTACTCACATTATCCCAAATGTACTCGCGTCTCCCAGATGAATAATTTGAGTGATTCTATATATACACTGTATTTAGTGAAAAATGCACTTCATGCGGTTTTAAACAACATTTTTACCATGTATCTTTTAGATCTTGGTGCTTTTTCACGCTATATTTTAATTATATGAAGGATAATGGTGATGGCACCACAACTTGAAGCCCAACCAGGGTGATCATTTTCAGCCAAACAGCATCAGAGAAAGACATTTGAACTGCTTTTTTCATTGTTTTTAATGGTTTTAGTTAGAGGTAACATTTATTTTGGAGATCAGGTGGGTAATTCGGCTTGTTAAAAAAAAAACTCCTGAACGTCTGAATCTGAAGTTATCCGAGGGAAATGCTCTGCTTTGTAACGTCAAACTGCTTTTATTCTCTGTTTTTACTGCTTATAACAATCTATGGATAATTCTGCTCTTGGTTAAACCAATAATGACCTCCCATGACCCCTCACATTCTGACTGAGAGACCCCTAGTGGCAGAAAAATACATTCAAATGCACGCCAACAGTAACTGCCCTTTTTCACCATGTAGTCATTAGTCTTTGTTTTCGACCATGCAGCGCCCAAATGCCAGGAGAGATGTTTTCTTTGTGAAGGCAGTAACAACATTTCTGACTTTCTGTTGTGATGTGAGAGCTGTAGCTGTGGCTGCCCTACAGCAACAGCTACAGCAAATGGATTTTAAACTATAAGAAAAATAAACAAAGAAGAGCAAGGGGCCACACAAACTGTTTTCCCAGCGGCTGACCTTATTTGTGGGGCCTTCCGAATCATTTATACTATAACCGTGCAGCCGAGAGGGACTCGCACATTTTACAGGACAGGGGGGATTTCACAACAGATTTCAGATGTGTGTATGAGGGCAGACGGCACGGTGTTTTCCCTGTGATGATGAACAGTTTTTCTCCCTAAAGCTCCAGAGAGAGCAACAAGTCTGCTTATAAATCTACTTCACTGACCGTAAACGGTGAAGCAGCTTTCTCTCACTTGCTGACAGTATCTAAGATTATTTTATTTTGAGGAATATGAATGTTTTTTTATCTATAAAGGTGGGTTTTAGAGACTAAATAAGTGAGTCTACGCTGTCAATAAAGCACTCCTTTTTCTGAGTGCATTGATAGATTACATTCATGCATCGGTCATTCTGATCAAGAAGACCATAACAAATTTATAAATCAGAAAGGAAGTCTTTGATTTGTATAGTGTTTTTTTTTTTTTTTAAATGCACCAGACTTAGATCTGTCCTTTTAAAATAAACCAACCAATTTAAAACATAATTTCTCGATTTATTTTCAAAGCGATTCTATAAATGATGCATGCTTAAACTTTATCTGGCTACGCCTGGAGCGTGACAGTCAAAGTTTGAATAGTTTTTTACGATCTTGACTCTGTCATATGTAATTAATTTTGAGTGTTCTTTAGGAAACTGATTCTGCCTTCAGACATTTGATGAAATGTCTTCTATTTGTGTCATCTCTGCATGCCATAATATGACTCATTACACACAGTATCGTTAAGTTATGTACACTTTTTAATGGGGTGAATTTATTATAGACACTAAAGTAAACCACAGCGATTCCCTTCATTTTTTAAATCCTACACAAATAAATGTGCCCCCCTGTTGCCTGGTATATCCTTCCCATCTTCATAATTGCATCGTTTGCATACCTGCACTCGTCACAGGCCACTTCACTGTGGATTTATAGCGCTGCCTTATTAAAATGAAACCTCCTATTTCTTGTTCTACTCTACTTCCCATGTCTGCTCATTGAGCCCCACTTGTATTATCCATTTGCATATTCTAACTGTTTTCTAAAGATTTATACTTCTGGCTCTGGCTCCCAGAGGGAAGTGCTCGCTGAGATTCATCACTACTCATCAGGCCTCTAATAAAGTCTTAAATGCTGTTACAATAAAACCACATTTTGTGCACGGCAAGCTCAAGATCTCCAGTAATTCCTGCCACTCTCTATTGGCCACTGATGGCTTTTCTATGGCTCATTACGAGGGGGGCGGGAGGCGACTGAACAAGATGAATTCCCCCCGATTGTGTGCCTATGTGAGGGTAGCGCTCCTTCAGCTGCTGTGCTCTGTTTTACTGCAGCTGACGGCTCGTCTCGACCTGTTGGAGGAGCGTCCCGGCTTTGAGACACCGCTCGGCCTCGAAGACGATTTCCCAGCCTTCTCCCCGCAGAAGTCTGCCTCTTTCTCTCCTCCCAGTCTCAGAGGCCCGACGTTTAACTCCATACTGAGCCCCTCTGACCACTTCCTGGCACCACACGCTGACAAAGAGGAACCAGAGCAGTGTTTAAACTCTGAAGCAGGGACCGGAGCATTAGACGAACCTGCAGAGACACCCATGTCTTTTGAAGATATTGGAGATATAAATTTGATAAAGGTAAAACCATAAGTCTGATTACAAACTATATATTATAATTACCATGTTTAACAATTTTCATATTGTGCAGCCTCATTATAAACCACATATTTAAAAAATGTCATATAGGCGGTACTTAAAGTGGACCTATCATGCTATATTTGAATAATATAGTGTAGGACCATACCTATATAAGGCAAATTTATACTTTTTATTTTTTTAAATACCAAACAGTATCAATATCATTTCGCTCAATTTAACACTGTCTTTGCATGGGCTGATTCTGTGAGAACAGCACCATCTACAGGCCTGGCATATGTACTACAGCGTCTCCAGCGCTTTCGAACGGCAATGTCCGTGGCTGTCTCCTCCTGATTGGTGGATTGGCCCAATAGCCGTAGCGCCACTTCTGTCACGTCATAGAAGTGATCAGATCCGTTGCAGCCCCTTTTTAAGAGATTTGGGTATGGAGGAAAATAGAGAGGGTTGTGTTTTCTGACACTTGGTGAGTTCCCTGGAACACCGGGGACACATATTCATGTATAAAAGATGTACAAAAGTGCATTTTGCATGATAGGTCACCTTTAAATATTGCATTATCTATGTTTTTCTGAATAGTTTTGTCTTTTGTTGACACAAAAGCTATTTAATTTTTAATCTGGGCTTCCTCCAATGACATAAACACCTTTGTTTTTAAAGAAAAGCATAGAAATGGATGGATTTTTGTTATATGTGCACATTATACTCAACTTTTATCTTACATTTATAAGCCTGCAAACTTGATGTGAGTGAGTTTTCAAAAGAAGTTGGAAGAAAATTGCTTTAGAAATAAAAGAAACCTCCAATGAGATGCAGTTTTTTAGAGACTTGGGTGCAGTGAAGCTGTCACTTCAAGGACTCTTCTTTCGCATGTGCAATAGAAAGACACTGTGGGCTGTGGAACACATACCTCTCTACTGTCATTAATTCTTATATTTCCTGGTACTCTTCCACAGATATTTGAATACCAAAACTATAAGCGAGGATGATGGACTGCAACAATTCAGGCATGGAGGTCAAAAGACAATCGCTCTAAGAGCTTGGCACTTCCACTAGTCTCGTACGATGATGAACTGTGATACTATCAATCCACTTGGATCCAAGACAGACACAAACATCTGTTTGGCATCATACTTCACTGAACTCCTTTCCTGTGTGTTTTGGAATGCAGTCCACAAGAGTTATGAAGCAGAAAGGCATAGTAATGATAACACTTGGAAACGTCCTTGGTGAGGTGCCAGAACTCTGGAGCCCGATGCTATTCACAAGAAAACTATTCCATAAACTCTATGTGAGATCGGTTGATATTGTTAGAGAAAAGTGTGCTTACCCCATGCTAAAAGACTGGCTGGAGCTACATATCCCAGGAAATCAGCATGTTTCATGCAAAGAGATTTGAATACAGACGCAACACTGTTCTTCTATTGCAGGGTGTTGCTAGTTAGCTTGATTTTAAGAATAGAGAGCATTATTGTTTAAAAAGGTAATTAAACAAGTTTTTTCTCTGATATCCCTGTTTGGAATGCTAACTGTAAAAAAACATTGTATGACTACTGCAGCACTACCCTCCCCCCCCCCACCAGCACAGTTCACAGTTTCGCCGCTAAGAGAGGGTGTGTGTGTGAGGAGCTCCACGGATGGGTCCATTTGGGTACCCAGGAAGAAAACAATGGAAAAAGATAAATCTCCAACGAGGGGTTCTGGGGCAGCATAGACAGTTCTTTTCTGTGTTAGAGTTGTACTCGCTACAGGGTGTACTTTGAGGGTTTGTGACTTTGCAGACCGTTTACATGCATAAAAACCTTCATAACACACAAGGGGACGGTTAATAACCTGAAAAGCATGACATGAGACCTTTAAAGCATGGAGACATGTCACAGTTGAGACACTAAATACAAATATGAACCTGAAAATAAGCATAATATGTTTTCTTTACAGTGTCTGGAGACATAAATATATGTTTGGCCTTCCCCATTAAGGCTTCTTCAATTGCTGTTGTACTGTTTTTTATTTCACACAGAATTGTTGGTATCTGCAACTACAAAACACAAACATCGATACTGATGTGTTCAGAAGAACAAATCCTACGATAATTGTTTAATAAAAACATATTCCCTTCTTGATCCTGTAATCAAGAAACCACACAATCAATCTCATTCCAATGGTTGACAAAGAGCGTTTTTGACCCCTAATCACACTATGAAAGATAAGCCTCAGTTTGCTCGACATTTGAAGCGTACTCCCGCTCCGCTAAGGCTGGATTTCAGCTCTAGGAAATATGAAGCAGGGCCTCAGATGCGCAGGGCAGCAGCTTCATCATTAGGCCTGATGGATGAGGGCCCGAGCTGGGCAAGGGAGGAGGACGAGAGGGATGGAGGAGGAGCGTTAGACAAGAAGGATGGCGAGAGATGGAGGGTAAGTGGGAAAGAAAGAGTGGTTGAGAAAGATTTACAGAAGATGCTATGAAAGGAGAGAACGATGAACGGAGGGAGCCTCACAGGCGTTCGCAGAGGAGGATCCGTCTAACAAATTACCTTCTCCTCCATTACAAAGCCTGTCAACCTGGACGCCGCTGTCAGCTCTCATACACACTCATGCCTGTCTCTGTCCTACACGCTCACACACACACAACCACCTATAGACACGCTCACACACACCTAACCAACGGCTTGTACTTGCTTCACTGCCTTCTCAAGAGTGCGCAAACGTGCACACGCACACCTTCTGCCTCCTGTTAACAGGTGATAAAGGAGCTTGTCACCGCAGCAATGAAGGCGGATGCTGTAGTAACGTCATAGCAACTCCGGAGTGTCAGACACAAGTGAGTGTGGCTGTCAGCCGCTCGTGTTTTATAGCAGTCTGTTGTAAACTGGGCAGTTAGGACTGAGTGTGTGGCTGGTTGGCTGACTGACTGACTGACTGACTGACTGATGCACTTCTTCTCTGGTTCACTCACTAGCTGAATGACTGGCAGAGATATTATAATTTTTCCTCCAATTTTATGGTGGCCGACAGCTGCAAATGCGCTACAACGGATCTAGAAAACATTCGCCAACATGACGAAACTTGCACAGAATCAGAATCCCTTTATTAGTCCCACAGAGGGGACATTTACATTGTTACTGCAGAAAAGAGCCAAAGACAGCTTAATGTTAAGTGGAAGCATTCATAAAAAAAATTAAAGATACAAATAAATGATAAAAAAAGGTACACAAGTTACAAAAAAACACATCCTGTAACAGTTCTGAGGATTTAACAGTCAGGTATATATTGCACAGTTATTACGGCCTATATATTGCACATATTTTGTATTTAACAACAAGTATTGTTATAGTCTGTGTTGTTGTGTGTGTGGGGGTCTACTAGGGGCCGTGGTGGTTATATAGTCTGACGGCTGCAGGAAGGAAGAACCTGCGGTATCTCTCCGTGAAAACACTGATGTTCTTGTCTGATTGACACTCCAGGGTCCTCACGTACTGTGGACGGTTGGTGAGGTAGTCCAGGATACAGGAAGTAAAGTTGGTGATCCACCCCCGAGAGCTGCAGCTTGTCCCCCAGGAGTGGGGGCTGGATGGTGTTGAAGGCACTGGAGAAATCAAAGACCATGATCCTCACAGAGCCCCCAGCCTTCTCCAGGTGGGAGAGGGACCTCTGCATCAGGTAGATGACGGCGTCATCCACCCTGATGTCAGGCTGTTCCATCGATGGTCTCACAAGGGGCCGAAGGTGTCCAAGGACTAGCCTCTCCAGGGTCCTCACCAGCTGTGATGTCAGCGCCACCGGCCGCTAGCTGTTGTGGTAACCTCCCTTGCTTCAGGCTCAGGTTGAAGAGGAACTCCACAATCCCACACAGCTGGTCCGCATAGGATTTGAGGAGCCTTGAGCTGATGCCATCTGGACCCGCTGCCTTCCTCGCCTTACACTTCTGCAGCTCCCTCCTCACCTGGTTGGTTGTGAGGGACAAGGTGCCATCAGCGGATGGGTGGGGGTTTGCGGGGGGAGAAGAAACAGGGGCTGGTGTGAGAGGTGTCTGAGAGCCGATGGTCGGGGGCTGAGTAGGGGTGGGAGAGGTGACAGGGCCATTTCCGGGCAGTGGGGACAATGGGGGGTACAGCAGGGGGGAATGGGTCGGGGGAGGGGCGCCTGACTGATCAAATCTATTCAAGAAAATATTCAGGTCGTTTGCCCACTGACCTGGGAGTCTGGCTCTTTGTAGAGATGGTCTTCAGGCCTCTCCAGACTCGCTGATGTTCCTCTGCTGCAGCTGTTTTTCCCCTCTCTGATTTTCCTCCTCAGCTCCCTCTGCACAGTCTTCAGCTCCTCTCTGTTGCGCAGTTACTAAAAGCTCTGAGAAGCAAATTGCTTACTCTAAAAAATGCAGCAAGAAGCTCAAAACACATCGGATACCTGGGCGAACACTAAAAGGTGATGCATACAGCTGGGACCAGAGCGATTGTTGGCGGTCAGGGATTATAAAGTTGGCCAACTGTCGCTGTTGTTAGAGTTAGACCGTTTCATAATTGTTAGCGTCTTGTTAGATATGAAATGACTAGGTTACCTTTGTTAGCTAGCTTTCTTAATTTGCAGATTTTCTTTAAATGCAACGCTTTAAGTAAAAATGTTGCATGTTTCAATGCGCATGTTTGTCAAGTCTGTGCAGAGGTTTCTTTAAGGCGGGGTAGGTAATTCGCTTCAGAAACATTTTGTTATATTCCATGGAATGCTCTTAACATCCCGATAGCAATGAATACATTAAATGCTTTGACAATAAATACATACAAAAATGTCATCTGTGGAAGCCGTGGCGCTGTAAAAAGCACGACCAATCATCTGAGCAGGCCCGGCTAAAATAACTGGATGGCCTACCCGCCTGTCAGCCTTCCATCTGTGCACAAACTTATCTCGTGCCCCCATTGGTCATGTGCGCGTTCGTGTGTTGGAGGAGGGACTCTTTTTCGGCTGCGTACTTTTGTTGTAAAGTGTGTTGTTAAGAC